ATTCGTCTCCATATGCCTTTGTTCTTCAGTTAGGCAGTTTATTGCTTCTCGTCTATGACAAGGTAAACTATAAAATGAGGTATTGAAATGGCCGCTGTGAATTTTGTCTAATAAGAAATATCGAAGTTTTCATTCAGAATGAACGTTTCATTTCTAATACAATATATCAACAGAATAGATGTGGTCTCACACAAACAATTTTTCAAGGAATTATTATCTCGAAAAAAAAAATTCATCTTGAATGAAAAATTCGACGTCTTGTAATTTCTAGGACACTTCTTGTTAAACAAAAAATTTAGTGACAGTTTACCTTGACATATACTAGGAAAATAAGACGTCTAACTGAAGAAAAAGATATGGAAACGAATTATTCTTGATTTTCTCTCTCCTCAACAGATCTATGTAAGTAGAGAAACATCAAGCCAATAGCTTTCGAAAATCAGAAAGACTTACTCATTAGGTCGTCTGTCTTATTTTTCCATACCTCACGCACACATTCTATCTGCACTAATCCCACAATTCTAGCACTTGATTCTGAACCTAGCGATCATTCCGTTATGATTTCATCAACTTACTCTCGCTTCATAACTGAAATGGTCGCAACGAACACTACCTATTTAAATTCCTTAGCAACAACTCGAAAAATTGACTCTCCCGACCATTTGCAATCATTTTTCTTCGTGATGGTACACATCTAGTCACATACTTTGAAAGGACTTGAATTCGACAAAACGTCCTGATTGTTCTGATATATTTCGGTTAGAGATCCAGCTATTGTCCTGAATTTTAAACAGCGCCACTGCGAGGCCTAATCCAAAATCCCTATTGATTATATATACCCTTTTACATATATCCTGGCTCGTAATATTTTCTGGAAGATTGGATGTTAATATGAAATCTCCAACAAAAAGTACTACAAAGCACCCTTACATCCGATTTTATAGCGCGTGAACATATTTTCCTTCACTTTCTCTGCTAGTATTTTACGGTATCTGAAAAATTAAACAACAGTTTGTATAGAACTTGAACAGCTCTATCTTTTTGTTGTAGTAACAATTAAAAATGCTCAAACCGACCTCATATTAGATTCGAATGATGCTGGAAAAGCGTATACACATATTCGAAATGGCGGTGCATACCAAGTCTGGCATATCATAAATACTAATGATAACTGTATTAATTTAAAAAGCGATGTAACGGGCCTATTTTTAGATAGCAATGGGAATGGTGACGTTTATACATTGCCTGGAAATGGAGGTGCATATCAAAGGTGGACATTTGATGGCCTACGTATAATAAATGTCGCAACTGGGAGAGCATTAGATTCAAATTATGCAGGAAATCTTTACACGTTAGAGCCAAATCGAGGAAATTTTCAAAATTGGATTCGTGAATAGTTCAAGGAAACCTCAACCCTAAACGATGGAAAGTAAACAAGATACTGAAAAGATCATTTATTCTTGCTTTTCCATTAGAAGTACTTTTGAAATTATTCGAGTTGCGCTCTCGAATGACGCTGTTGCTTTCATTTATCGATCGTCGATGTCGTAGAAAAATATGTCACAACGAGAATCTCATGTCGCCCTTAGATCTTTCGTACATTGTCATAAAGTGTAACACACTATTTTAGTGGGTTTTGGGTGTGAGTGCGGGTGTGGGTGTAAATGTGGTCTCTTTTCTCATACCCACGCAACCTCGAAAATTTTCCAAATTCCTTACCTTCAATTATCAATCAAGCGAACCTGAGAGATAAATACTTAGGCGAGTAAAAAATAACACAGGGCCCCCAACTTCACTAGTCTCAAATATCCGTATTACCTTCCAGTCTAGTACGCAATGACTTATAGCTCGTCAGGACTGGTAGGGTGTGGGTGTGGGGTGTGGGTGTGGGTGTGGGTTTGGGTGTGGGTGTGGGGTGTAGGTGTGGGTGAGGGTGTGGGTGTGGGTGTGGGTTTGGGTGTGGGTGTGGGTGTGGGTGTGGGTGTGGGTGGGTGTGGGTGTTCGTAAAAAGAAGGCCCACACACCTACTCTGCACACCCGACACCCACACCCACCGACACCCACACCCCACACCCGCACCCACACCCACACGCACACCCGCACTCACCCACATCCCACATCCACACCCGCACTCACCCACATCCCACAGCCACACCCACCCACACCCACACCCACGCCCACCCACCCACACCCACATCCACACACCCACGCACCCACACTCCACACGCACACCCCACACCCACACCCACACCCACACCCACACCCACACCCACCCACACTCACACACACCCACATCCACACCACCCACCCACACCCACACCCTCATATAAACATTGAATTATATCAACAAGTTGTGGCAATTGATCTAATGTTAATGACTGGATGCGTTCTAATTCAGTATTAAATATTAAAAATGTACCTGTATTTAAATATAAACAATTTATAGGGACAATTATGTATTATTTCAATAATTGTGATATAAAGATGCTCGATATGAAATTCTTTTCATTTTTAATTTATAGTAAGTTAAAGATATATTCAAAAATAAAATTTTCTATTTAAATACTATTTCATCTAATCTATTATCTATCAACATAGAGAATTATTCAATTAAAATTTTAGATTTATATGAAAGTTAAAGTGATAAAGATAATTTTAAAACATTCTTTTCTTCATATTTAGCATTTCTTCATATAGTTAACTCTTATATTCAGAACATATACCAATTCATAGACAATTTAATGTTTCAGATTTTTGTTGAAAAACTTTTGATCCATTATAAAATGATAGTTTTTAAACTTTGATATATGTTTGTAATTATGAATAATACATTAAAAAAAACCAGAAAAAATAGAATCAATCTTAAAAGATAATCTAATGTTTTGAGAATGAATGTGAAAAAAGTAATTCAATCATTTGAATTTTTTGTATGAAAAAATATCTGTTTACTAATTGATTTTGAATCATTTTAATTTTTTTTCATGATTTATCACTTTTCGAATTAAATTTATTTTTCTATAAAACACAAAAGTGTGATGGATATCATAAAATAAAATAACAAATCTTATGATAGCGAAGAAAATAATCAACTCATATGTAACAAGACTTCGTATAGAATGGGACAAACAAAACAATCTTATCCTGAGATAATTCAAAAGAAAATGTGTTTATATCCCATGCCGATTGTTGATATGTAACTTTGCTAGTTAAGAAGAAATATTTATGGTGAAAAATTACATTTTAAATAAAATACATCATTCAAACAAAATAATTATATTTACATCGATCAATCTAACCTGACAATATTCGAGAAAATAATGTATAAAATTGTTTTAAAATGTATAACCTTTCTTTTTTAGATTGATGACAATACTATCTATAGAATTGAAATATCAGAACACGAAATGTTAAATTTTTGTTTTTGATTTTATCTCGTATCAATTAGACTTTGCTTTTGATAAAAAATAAATTTTAGTTTGAAAATTAATGATTCATAAGACAAAACTAAAATTATTCAAAATCAATTATTAAACAGATATTTTTTCATACAAAAAAATTCAAATGATTGAATTACTTTTTTCACATTCATTCTCAAACATTAGATTATGTCTTCAGATTGATTCTATTTCTTATTGTTTTATTTTTAATGCATTATTTATAATTATAAATATATATCAAAGTTTAAAAACTATTGTTTTATAATAGATCAAAAGTTTTTTTCAACAGGATCTGAAACATTAAAGTCTCCATGAGTTAGTGAATGGTTTGAATATAATGGTTAACTATATCAAGAAACACAAAATATAAAAAAACCAAAAAAAAATTTTTTAATTTTTTCAAATAATCTCAATCATGTTGTTTTAAGTATAGAAACAAACTTTTACCTTTATGACTTATCTATACGTGAAGATATTAAAATTTTTTGAACGTTATCTCAAAAATATCTTCTATTATTAAATGGCAATACAATAGAAAAAATAATCTTATCAATAGAGTTTTTCTGAATAAATAGATAAGATAATGATGAAAGTTTCTTTTTTTTGAAACTACTATATCTAAGAATTAATGAACGATAGAAACATCAGTTTATCATATAAGATTGAACAGAATTCATCATAGGTTTTTTTCGAAAATATATATCAAATCCTTTTCAACAATCACAAATATTTAATAAAAAATCGCTATAGGAATGATTTTAGAAAAATTAAACTTTAATAAAAATAAAAATAAAAATAATTATTTTTTTTCTTCAAACAACTTGATAGTTTATTCAAAAATAAAAAATCAAGTCATTTTTATTGAGTTTGTATTTCATAATGTCTTAGCATTACTTAATATTTAACTAGGTTTCTATTCTCAATTGTTCAATGTTTTATTTAATCAATCTCGAACTTTTTCTGTTTGATTATTTCAACAGTTTTTATTAATATAAAATCAAAATATTTTTATATCAGATATCGTTATAAAAATCATTATACATAACTAAATTTCTACTAATTGTTCATAATCAAAGAATTTTGCTCAAACAAAATATGTCTCTCTTCTTTTTCTTAACTATAAAAATTCTAAAAACAACTTTCATCATCAATGGATTCAATTTTCCACAGATTTTTCTTCTAACTTGTTCAATATTTGATGAATAGAAGAAACATTCGTTTTACTCGAAGTATTTTCCTTGAAAAAACAAAAAATCTTCTATTCATTTATCTATATTGATCAGTAATTTTTTTTTATAAGTCTCTTCATTGAAGAACTACAAATTCCAGTTTTACCATATCATTAAATCTTATTTCTGCTTAAGTTTTTCTTCATTTTACAACAAAAAACAAAACTAGTCGTCTAACTTTTCAATAAGCTTTAGAACATGTTAGAAACGTGTAAAAAAAAAATTGATAGACAAATATTACCTGTAGGTGAATTATGTAGAATATCTTGAAAAAATGAATTAAATTTGTCTAAATCATTTAATTGTTTTAATTCATTTGTAATTGTTACTTCATTTAAAAATATTCTGCAAGCAAGCGACTTTTAGATATTTCCATAACATGTAGTTCTATATCATCATTTAAAGAATTATTTTCATTATTTCTTAATACATAAACCATTGAAGTTAAACCATAGCCCAATTTTTGTATTATTTCATATTTATTACCAAGTAAATCATCACGATGATCTATACTTAACATCCTATATTCAAAAAAGTTTTCATTCATTGTTAAAAAATTTGTAAATATTTTCCAAGTAACTTCATTTAAATATTTCTTTCTCCATTGTTCATTTGTTAATGACATATCAACAGATGATAATCTTTCAGGATAATTCATAAACAGATCTAAATTTTCACTTTGATAGTAATCATATGAATATGGTTTATCTCCTTTTTCAACATAAAAAAATATCATTTGTTTATTATTAATTAAAAAACCATAAATCGTTTTACGATTTTGTTTATCTAATAGTATATGTAAATAGTGCAATAATTGTCCGATTGAATCAATTATCAAACGGTTAGATTTCTCATATTCACCAACATAAATAATAAAATCTTGTAAACATAGACGTCCTTTATCACTATTGATATTAACATTTTTATACAAGAAAACAACAATCAGGACGAAATCTTCCATCAATACAAGATGAGCTATCTGTATCGAAATATTTCAGAACTGTATAATCATTTAATAAATTCAATATTAATTCTTGAAATAACAATTAAATTTGCTGTTCGCTTATATTCACCAAGGATAAAACAGTATTGAAATAATCTCAACTAAGACCTATTGTTTTCTCATTTAAATAATAATAATTATTATTATTTAATACTTTGTTAATATTAAAGTCATGAGGATGTCCAGTTACATATAAATTATAAAATACATTATGATCTGTTAATAGGGTGTGGGTGTGTAGATGTAGGTGAAGGAAAAGGTATTTTCGGTGGCCAAATCCAAAATCGATTTCAGCCTATATTTCATGCACTCGAAAACAATGGCTAGATTCAATTGTCATTGCCAGTACGATTGCTCGCCAGTGATACGTGAATTTATTCCGACAAACGGATATGTATCGAATCCTTTAGCTTTTTCTTACATTCTTCTTTTCCCAATGCCTTGAAAATCATTCTCTTGACGATTCGAAATCATTCGGATCATCTCGAAATTCTTTAGTGTCGCGGCACAAAGTACAGGTTTTGTTTCAGCGAAAAAAAAACACCAACTATGTAGGCCAATTGCTACATTTCGCATCACATTGAAAAAAAAACATCTTGTTTTAAAATTGATCAATCATAAACCTGTCTTACATTTTTCTTAGAAATAGTTATTAACGACATACAAATAGTTTAAATTACAATGAAA